CTTATCGTGTGTGTGTGTGTGCGTGTGTGTGTGTGTGTGTGTGTGTGTGTGTGTGTGTGTGTGTATGCACTACTGCCATTTTTGTGTTTGTGGAACATAGTACCCTCTTGGTCTCTTGCACATGTTCTCATTCTGATAGTGACTAGGTTATGACAAAAAAACAAAACTTTCATTCTCCTCTCAAGTCTGTTATTAAAATCAGGTGCTGGAGAGATGGCCTAGTGGTTAAGAGTGCTGATTACTCTTCCAGAGGACCCCAGTTATTACCAGCACCCACATGGTGGCTAACAACTATCCCTACCTCCAGTTCCAAGGGAACCAATGCCCTCTTCTGGTCTCTGTGGGTACTGCACACATATGGTGCACTTAACATATATGCAGGCAAAACACTCATCCACATAAAATAAAAATAATTAAAAAAAAATTCCCAAACCAACACACATATGGGAGGGGAGGGAGAAAGAGAGGGAAGAAGAAAGGGAGGGAGGGAAGGCGGGCACACAAAGGTAGCTGGCTGCACAGCATTAACATGTATGAACAAGAAGGCAGCAAATGCCGCTGGAACCAGGAGACTTCAATCTGTGAACACCTAGGGTAAATACTGGGTCAAAACATGGTATTTAAAAGATGTGTAAGATACATCTGGTTCTCAGAATGTGAGGACAGTGGGGATGGGTAGCTGAAGTAGGTGCACATCCAGGGTGACACTACCACGTTGATCAGTGGTGGATCCCTTGTCCTCCTAACTGAGCAGGGGAAGAAAGAGAGTTCTCAGTCCTTCCAGCCTTGGCATCACACTTAGTAACACCTTAGGAGTGCATGCAATTTGGGGCAATAAAATAGTCCTTATTCTTGAACAACTGTGAGACCCATTTCGAGACAAGATCTCTCTATGCAGTCTAGGTTCGCTTTGAACTTGAGATCCTCCTGCCTCAGTCTCCCAAGTGCTGGGATTACAGGTCTATACCACCACACCCAGTTCTGACACATATCTAAGAATTTCAAAAAATCATTACATTAATACCAAAAGAAAGAATTATATCTGACAGTTTTACATTTCCTTAATGCTAATGAAGATTCTTACACACACATTTCGTACTCAGTATTTTCTGGATTAAAAAAAAATCAACAAAGCAACTTCTATATAATATACAAAACTGTGTTTTGTCTCAATCTAAACCCAAACACAGTTGATTAAACAGCTGTGCTTTCTCTTCATTGAGAAGAACAAATTTGTTATTTGTGGGCATAAAATCCTCCAATGGCACCCTACCTCAAGGCAAAGCAAAAGTCATTACAAAGTCTGTAAGGCCCTGTGCTGCTCCCCCAACTTGCCTCTGGTTGTCCACTCTGAGAGCAGTTCTAGGTCAGGGCAGCCCTCCTTGATCACTGCAAAGGCATGCACCCTTCTCCACAGCTCCATCCTACTCTGCATTCTCTGTTTCCTTGCTGCCCATCTTTCCCCCCAGAGCACCTATCCTTCTAATCTTCTGTGGGATTCACTTCTGTGTTACTTCTCTTTTATCCACTTGTATCACTTCTCTTCCCAAGTAGACTGGAAATGCCACAAGGGCGGGAAATTTGGACTTTAAATTAAAAAAAAAAAAAAAAAGTGTGTGGGGTGTGTGTGTGTGTGTGTGTGGTGTGGTGTGGGTGTGTGGGTGTGTGGGTATGGGGGGGCAGTTCCAGGGACTGAACTGAGGTCATTAGGCTTGGCAGTAAGTACTGTTACCTGCTGAGCCATCTCACTAGCTCACCTTTGGCTTTTTTTTGGCTTACTGCCTTATCCTCATTGTCTAGAGTTGTACCCAGCACAGAGTAAGTTCTCGATAAATACTTGTAGAATGAATAAATTTTCTCTTAAAACAGAATCACATAGAATTTCCTTTTGTTAAAGAAAAATCCTTTCCTTGTTTCATTACTTTTAATAAGATTAAAGCGTAAAGTTTCACACCTCTACTCAAAATATGGCCAGTAGCCCTTGAGTATTAATAAAGCCCTAGGGGTTGGGGCTTAGTGGTTAAGAGTACCTACTGCTCTTCCAGAGGACCACAGTTCAGTTCCCAGCAGCCACACAGGGTGGCACATGCCACCAGTTAGATTGCCTCTAACTCCTGCTCCAGGGTATTTGAGGCCCTCTTCTAGCCTCCTTGAGCAACCCCCCATATACATGCTATTCATTCACAGATACACACACATGCCTATAAATAAAAATAACAAAAAATAAATCTTAAAAGAAAAATAATAAAACCCTGCTTTGTTAGGCAATTACATTGAACTGCCTCTGCTCTCCCCCTAAAAAAACTTGTGCTCAGATTCTAAGTTCATAGAAGCCTTTCTGTTTATATTTATCAACAAATAGAGCACAAAAAGTAAATAACCTGAGGCAGAATTGTTGAGGTCACATTTCAATATAACCCCTCAAAAACAACTGACAGGAATTTCAGTGACCACAGTTTATACCTTACATACCAATAGAAGAAGTTAAAAAATTCCTTAAAAGTTATGAATCACTGTATAATTGTAAACAATGACTAAATACAAGACCACATGTATGTACAGTACAAAGGCATGCATTTTAAACCAGGATTATCTGGGCTGTTTTGCAGAAATTTTGTATTGCTATTTCTCTACACACAAGGTTTCACAAAATACCATAATGCTATTAGTCACTTGTCAGTTTTCCCTTTTCCTTATTTTGAGACATCTGCTCTTTATACTACCAGCAAGAATTCACTTTGACCTTTTGTGTAGTGTGAACAGCTAACTTCTGGAAGCCTTATCTTAAGCAACGAGGCTTAGGCACAGGAGATAAAATATTGTAAAGACTTGATTCATTCCTTTAATATCACTAACAGCTATTGAGGGCCTACCAGGTGATTATACTCCACAGAACAAATGATAGAAACACTTCACACAGATGTCCCCCTGCTATAGGGCATCAACTCCATGTTCATAGTTCAGCTACAACTCAAGAAGCCACCGTAACTTTCAACAATAAAACAAGCCTTGTATTTTATCTCCATGAAACTTCAGCATCTGGGGCCTCTCCTTTATACACTAACTACTCTTATACCAAAGAAAGGACAGAACCAGCTTGCCAGAGCAGCTGCTTTAATTAGCTGAGTCTTTCATTACACAACACTTGTTTTATTTAATATTATTTCCCAAATCAGAAATTAAAAAATATCCCACCAGGATGGCCTTCCAACAAGCTGAAAATTTCTCAACAGTGTCAGTCAATTTATGGTTTTGTTTGTAGTGCTGAATATGCAACTCAGGGCCTGGTACATGCTAGACAAGTGCTCTCTAAACTGAGCCACACACTTAGTTCTCAATGATGTTTACAGTGAACTCATTCTAGAATATTATGCTATGTTTACCTGCCAAGTCATAAAATCTTTGCATTTCCCCTTCATAAATTGTATTATCTTGGCTCTTTAGTCCAGTCCCTTATTTTACACAAAGTAAGGTGGATGCCCAAGAATTCAGCAGACTTGATGCTTGCTCTTCAGTTTGGCAATGTTCCTGCAGAGCCTTAACAGCACTGCCAAAAGGCTAAGCTATGTGCCATTTTCTCTAGGGGGGGCAGTAAGATGGCTCAGTCGGTTAAGGTATCTTCTGACCTCCACATGTGCTCCCTGGTATGTGCACATGTGTACATGCCTGCATACACATGAGCATACACACACACTAACACTCACAGTCAAAATGAATAATGTAATAAAAAATTCAAATAGGCCTCTGAGGTCATAGACCTACAAATTCTTACCAAATGATTCAATCCTCTCTACATCATCCCTCAAAATCATTGACCAGTTTCCATAAGCATCATATTTTAAAAAATAGCATATTTCATTTTAAACATTTAAAGTAGTATCAACTTTTGGGAATGACTTTTTCCTTTGATTTGGAAGTTTTCTCCAGTACCTTCATCTTATTGGTCCTATCTTCTATTCTCTGAAATTAGGAAGCCTGATGAATGCCAACTAGGCCCTAGTTCTATGCAGGAAGACAGTGACCAAAGCCCAGCCAAGCCTAAGCATTATCTTATATCATGCAATCACTTCTAAGACCCATGTCCTCCACAGATCCAGGCACTGCCCAAGTGATCTGCTCTTCCTAAAATTAGGCAGCCAGATACGACAGGGAATCACTCCTAGGTCAGGAGACTCTATCTTGCTTAGAGTACTGCATTTCTTTTCTTTTTTAATTTTTATATTTAAAAAAATATTTTATTTTTTTTATGTGTATGCATGTATTGCCTGCATGTAGGTAAGTGCACCCGTGTCGTGCAATGCCCATGGAGGACAGAAGAGACTGTTAGATCCCCTGGAACTAGAGCTATGGACAGTTGTTAGCTGCCATGTGGGTGCTGGGATTCGAACCCTGGTCTTCTACAAGAACAGTCAGTGTTCTTAACTGCTGCACTATCTCTCCAGCCCCAGGAGTACTGCATTTCTAATCATTAGCCTACAAATAAATTACAGTTGTCAGCACGTTGCATTGTGGCTTCAACTGAGAGTGTAAGGTGAGCAGCGTGGGTCTCTTTCATCCTGTATTCCAGAGGCTGACTTATTGAGAATGTGCTCCCCAACTCTCCTTGATATTCCTATGCTCTTCCTGTGTCTAAGTAATCATAGGTTCAGTTAGCTGATCTCTTGGCTGCACCTAGTATACGTGCAGAGAGAGAGGGTCTGTCTCCCTCACTACAGAAACCCATGTTTATCACAGCTGCTAAGACTCAAGACTGCGTAAATCACCCCTTCTACCACATTTCCAGGCAGAGAGCAGTTAACCTTTTCCCCTTAACTCAAAATTTGACACAGACGATAAATATAAAATCAGTAACTATGATTCTTTTTTCTTTTTTGTTTAAGGTTTATTGCTTCAAAAAAATTTAATACTTAAAAGGGTCTTTATGGAAAAATTTCTAAAGTTCCATAGATAATCAGCAATCCACAAAGTCCAAGGGGCTTTTGGATAGATTTTTTTTCAAAATCAGTATCAGAAAAAAAAAAAATCTCACTTCCCATTTAAAAAAAGCACACGCGTATTTGAGGCTAACTGATCACCACTGTGCTCAGTCACAGGGTGACAGGAAAAAAGGCACCACCATAAAAGGATTCTGCTCAGTCTCTCTTAAAGCAACATGCCAGGCTTAACTAACTTCAGTTTGGGCAAACACTGACTGCTACAACAGAGGCCCCAGCAACTCACTGATATGTAAGTACTGCACACTTTACTTTTTTCCAATTAAGAAATACTTTGAAAGCCTAAGTTTCAAGTGAAGGAAAGGATTCTATATTAAATAATTAGCTAAATATTCCCAGAAAAAACTGTATTATTAATATAGTTTAGATAAGTTACTTAAAATGCAGTGTTCCTATGTTTGAATGACCAGTTAAATGGCCCAATTTTTAAAAAGACATTACATCTGACTGTACAGCACGTATTTAGGTACAAAAGTCTCTTGATAATAGCATTTCTTAGGATAGAATAGCAGTAATAAGAGTTTCTGGGGAAAGGAGAATATTTTCTAAAGTGTTAGATACAAAATAGTATTTTCTGGTTTGCAAAAGCATTTTACCATTTATTCTCCTACCAGGAAAGATGATCTGTCAATCTGGGCTTCACTGCCCAGAAGCAAAGATCAACTGCTAATTAACTAAGTGGAAAATTAATATTTATATTATTTGATTTATATCATTTGGTGATCAACAATGCTAAATAAGCCTCCATATTTATATTCTCAAAAAAAAAAACCCTACAAAATAAAGAATTATGCACAGTGATTTGCCAAAATGTAATGTCCAGGTTGGGCGAGGTTGGTTAATAGAAACTACTAGCAAAATATAAACCATGAAAAGACTTCCTCTAAAGAAACTGTGATGTTTTCTGGTAAGAGTTTCAATCTTTAGGTGTCCCTCTGAGTACAGCAGAGTATAACAGTTAAGAGAAGGGTTCTGGGATCAGACTCAGAAGTGGGCTCCATTACTGTCAAGTTAAGTGGCCTCTTGTAGTTGTTTAACATGTCTGGCTTTGGTTGCTTCAGTTGTAAAATGGGGAGTAATACCAAGTCCTCCTAACACTGCCTTTCATAGTAAGTGCTAGAACACTGCCTACTACTTCCACTCTGCTCATTAGTCTACAGAAGGATGAACCCAATAGGCAGTTTCTTTGCCCTCTCATTCCTGCGAAAATTATTTTTCTTGAACTTATTTGAAGATCTTTATTTTCTAGACTATTGTATATGAAGATTTTGGGTCTATGGATGAGTACACATCTAAGTATGCTTTCTAGTATTTCAGAGCATGTTTTGTTTCTGGGGCCTAATCATGCTTTTTAAACCTAAAAGTACAAGATCACATGGCTCCACAAAGCATTCTTGCTCACAAGCTCATGTGTTATGTAGGCAGCTGTGGTGATAATTCCTTTTATAAATTACTTTCAGTGGGCTTCGTAGAGTTGATAAGTAGCATGACCAGTCACTTAGAATAAAAACTATAATAACTGAGTTCACTCCAGGACTTTCATACATGTATGATGGGCAATTACTAGATAATTAATGCAGGTCAGTCTACAGCGGTCTAGGGCACAAAAATCTATAAGGCAGGTTAATAGCCTTAACCCACCGACAGTAAATGAAGGAGTTCACAGAGACCTTTCTCTCTACCATGGTAAAAACTGCTGGAGGTGATAAAGGCTCTTCCGTGTGGCATGGGGCACAGATGTACAGTGTCCTCTTGTTGGAAAGTCTACCAGAGTCTCAAGTTTTGGTGCAGTAACAGGCATCTCTGCAAGCCTAAACTATGCTAAAATCCCATGCATAATTTGGAGGCACAAAGACTCTTAGTGTTCTGGAAGTGCAAAGTGAATAAAAGGCATATTGCTAAATACCTTTATCTATATATCCTTAAAAAGTTATAGAAAAATCAAATAGCATAAAAGTTATGCTAGACAACATCTTTCAATTGAAATTTCAGTCAAAAATATTTATTAAAATGCTGTTACAACATGAAATCTAAATTCATTTATAAAACGTTTACTTAATTGGAATGGCACTACACTCCTTTAATCCTAGCACTTGGGAGGTAGAGGCAGATCAGGAGTTCAATGCCAGAATGAATTCTTCACTGAAATCTACCTATCTCCCCTCCCTTCTTCCATCCCTTTTTTTCTTAGACATGAATGAGTTGGTAAGTTTGGGGATATCTTCCTGCTTTTACTTGTTTTCCACCTACTGCATCTTGATATTTTTGGAAATAGGAACTAGGGATAAAGTAGCCAGCCACTGTTCTGAATGTGATTTCTGGTGGAAACCAGCCTGAGTATAAACCCTGACACTTAACAGCTATAGCTGTGTGTTTAGGGCAGTCACTTAAGTGCTCTGTTGCTTGGTTTCACTATCTGTTGAGTGGGTGGAAATTGTGGGAGGATTCAGTTAGTGACGACTGGTCAGAGGCCCTGACTAGATGGGGTCATTACTGCTCATCAAGGGCTTACTGACCTCTAACAACTTTTTCGTGAGGATCAGCTGAGCTGAGATTTGGCTATTTCTTATCTATTGAGTAGTAGTTATCAGTCAGCTAGAGGTATAAAAAATTACCATGACACATCCCCACTCTCAATGCTTCACAGGTATGTGAGACACAAAACCACAACAACCTCAGCCATGCAGGCATTATTATAGCGTACAGCACAGAGCCCTCCCTGCCTTCCTGAGACAGGATAAGAGGGGGCCACAGATCAGGAAGCTGCCAGGAGCAGCTAATTTCTAAGGAAGTCTTACAGGAAAGTTGGGTGCTAAGACTGCAGGGCAGGGCCAAAGAGGGAAGAATGTCAGGGCAGAGATATTTGAAGAAATATGCAGTATCCAAAGAGAGGGAGGAATTTGGTCTTCTTGGAGTCAGGGCACAGAGAGAGCCAAGATTGCCAGTGACCCAGAGGAAGTGGGAGCAGGGCCTCATCATGAAGGAAGTTGTGATCATGAGCTTCCAGTCTGTCCAGGGCCTCTGGGCATCAGCTAAAGGGTCCTCAAGAGGAGAGGCTGCAAAGGTACTGCAGAGAGAGCAAGGAAGGAGGCCTGCAGACATTAAGGCAGCAGAAAAAGGATACACACACATGCAGGCGAAGACATAAGCATGGGGTGGTACAGAGTAAGCACAGAGCAGGGTTCAGGGCTAGAGGAAAAGACTGGCTAACCCGGGAAGGATGGAGCCCTGACCACCCACGTTGATCCCTGACTCAGAGAATCCTGAGCAAATGACTGAACATGACTGCAATTCAGTGTATCCATAAAATAAGACTTAATGTCCCTGCCTAATTTCTATGAGATAACAGATAAAGCTTGACACTCCCTTCATCTTAAAGGGTACAGGTGCCATGTTATTTCTAGACGTGTTCTGGACTTAGAATACTGAGCAGACCACACCTTCATGATAAAGGGTCTTTCTACTATGCTGTTAGCTATCTCAATGCAGGCTCCCACAAATCCTGCCACATGGAGACACAACACCTTCTTTACATGAACGCTATGGTGGCGTTTTAGTTTCTTACAGTAACATATACAGGACATCATCATCTCTAATAAGTTCCATACCTCTCTAGTCAGCATTAAAGCTCCTCAAAGCCACACAAGGAAACATTATTGAAAGGTAAAAGAAAAATAGCTGCAATATGTTCAACCAAACCATCACTCTCGCAGGCACCCTTCACCTTCCATCAGTCCCAAAAGACAGCTCTTTGCAGGTGAAGCCAGTCTTCCCTGAGTACCCACTGAAGTCAGACACCTGGAGAGGCACTAAGAATAAACTGCAGACTTGTGAACACCATTCTGCTCTGTCTTAGGGACTGTCTGCTTTGTGTCAAAATGATTACTAGAGACCTACTGAAAGACAGTCTGAAGCAGACTATGTCATAGGCTCAGCAGCAGTGCCAGAGAGCTAACGACATCTTGGGAAGCCTGCTCACTGTGGACCCTCAGTTCATCACACTTCCAAAAGCCAGAAAAAGGGAGCTACCTTCAAATGGGCCAACTACAATCAACTCCATCCTGAATATAAACAGCACAGTAGGGGTGGTTTTTTTTTTTTTTAGTAGGACCATTCACAGACAAACAGCACACACAGCAGCTGTTTCCTCAACTAAAAAAGGAGGTGGGAACTGCTGATTGAGTGCTGCAGGTCATTGGGCCAAACTCAGATGTCCCTCTTTAAACAAGAACAAGGAAGCTTTTTCCACATGCTCAACAAATGCTTATAATGCTTATAAACCTAAGTAAACAGAGAAAAAAGTGGTGTCTTCCTCCAAGGAGCATGTTTGTTATCAAGGGAACTAGACTAGCCTTAGGTACTGTCCTGATACACCTGTGCTGCTCAACCTTTCCTCAGTCAGACCGGTTCGTGTCACTCCAGGTAACCTTGCGCCTTCGTCTTCCCCCTCTTTTTCCAATCATTTTATTTCTCCCCCTTTTAGGCATTCTGCATCAATCTTATCTTAAGAAAATACCCAGAAGTGTATCAATAGAAACCAGAGAAAGAATTGGCTCAGAATCTGAGTGTAACCCACTGGGACTAGCAATAATAAGATACATAGAGATTAGAGATGCGTGTGCAAATATCTAAGTGTTAGTAGCATTAAAAATGAGTCTTTCTGTAGGAAACAGTATATTTTAAAATGAAATGGAGATTTTTTTTTAAAGGTTAAAAGCTCATTCAATTTTATGTCTTACAGGGTTTAAACTGAGTTCAATATTGTATAACTGTATCAATTCAACTGTGAACCTAAAAATTTACAACCACTTTTGAAAGATGTATCTTTGCTCTGGAAATTGTTATTAAATATGTTAAAGCTGTAATGAAATGCATCTAATCATGTGGTTATTAAATAAATTTAAAAAAAGAATTGGCTCATTCATGCTTTAACAATATACCCATAAATGCTACCTGTACCTCCATGTTTTTGATGCCTCCAGTGGTTGATGTTAAAAGTCTAACCTTCCTCTTGGTGAATGCCAATGAGTGTGCATTGTGAGCAAAGTCACCTCTAGACCTGTAAGGCAGATATAATTGACCTGATCTTACTGAGGTCACACTTGGCCTACTCAAGATGCTGCTAAAGCTGAATTTAAACAAAATTTCTGGCAATAACCCCCTTTTTATTTAAAGTGTTGATAATTCTTAAATATTAGGAGTAATAGTGATACTTCAGAAATTTTAAAGCAAAAGTCCCAAAACTATTATTCTAGTATGAACCAAATCTTTGATTATGGTTTTGTTTCTATTATGTATAAAAGATAAGAAAAACAATTATCCAAGCAAGAAAGTTAGGAGAGAAGGTGTGTGTGTGTGTGTGTGTGTGTGTGTGTGTGTTCTTTGAAAACTCACAAATGCTTTCATGTTGGTTCTCAGAGTAAATAGTTCTCAAGTACAAATTACGTTATAGCTTAGGCAATTTTCTTCAATACTAACAGATGGGTTTTCAGAGGACTTTTTTTCTCTCTCCTTGTGGCTAGAAAAAAACCTGTCAGTTCATGTCAACATGTCCGGTTATGCAAAAATGAAATGATAGTATCTCAAGAAATGTTGGCAACTGTCTTGACAATGAAATAAATTTTACAGAAAAACACACATAGGCCACTTCCAAGACTATAGGGGAAAATACTTGGGAAGATATTTTGCTGAGGAAGAAACTTATTCTTGTCCATGTTAGGAACAGAAAACTAAAAGGATCAAACATTCCATTACAAAAACAAGACTGTCTCCTTTCCTTAGCAATAAAATAAGAGAAAGGCAGATGTGGCTTCCAGGTAGTTCATTTTCAGGAGTAATAAGAGTTTTGGAGGTCACAGCACCTGTTCCTCACGAGGTTAGAGCTGAAGGACAATTTTATGCAGCACAGTTACTATCTACGCTCTCAGAGAAAAGGTCTTGATTCCTATCCTTAGTACATGGAGCATAAAGGGCAACCCAGGGGCCAATTACACCTTTTCATCAAAAGCATTCTTAAGGAAACTATAAAATGGTAGTATCAATAATACAGGAAAGATATAAAGCAAGAACAAGGATGCGAGCAAGGTAACAACTACCTTGTGAAGCCAATCCTCGGAAGTTGCTAAATATTTATCTAAAATGAACATATTTTGAAACCACAAGTCTCCTTTTCCTAAGACAATTTCTGATCAATCCCATTTACATGTCCATATTCTCCAAGTGCTTTCTTTGGCCAGCTCTGGCCTAACAGCGGTCAGTGAGAAGGTCCCTGCACAGTCTTCCTCTCAGAGCTGGCTTTCCTTGCCCATCTACTCTGGGGAGGATAGGCCACATGTGTTTGTGTGGTCTGTATTTTGAAACTACAAGCTCTCAGTTCTTTAAGGGCTCATGAGACAGCTGCCCCTGAAAAGGACTGGAAAGCACACCATGGAGAAGGATCTAGCATGACCTTTAACCTCCCATACCCGTATGAGGTTCCTACATGACATAACTTAATGGTAGTAGGCATAGTAAATTAGTGCACAAATCTAAGTGACATGAAAAAGCAAGCTCTGGAAAGATGTCAGATGATATGGCTTCTGCCTGGAGCTAAACAAAATTTCCACCTCATTTCAATCAATTCATGTTCAGTATTCCAAATTCAGGCTATACAGACACAGTCCCCAATCACTTATACAATATTATGTTCTGACACACATCATATCCAAGCAGATCTGTGTGTGTGTGTGTACACATGCGAACATGTGCATTTATATTTGCTTTTTCTCCCCAGAGTAGCAGGCCATGTAATCTGCTTTCCTTAATAGAACTTCCTGTGAAAATAGTCTTCTAAATTGCCACTTTCATATCATACCCTATGGCTATACCATAAACATTTTACAAGTTGCCTAATGAAAGACAGTTGATCTGTTCCACAAGTTTTCACTTATATTATAGTTAATACTGTGTTGAATGTTCCCATACCAGAACTGTTTTGAAACCTCTGCCATGCTTAGCTGTATCAGATGCTATATAGTCGAGTTCATCTGGGGACACAGCCAGGCAGCATTTACAAGCTGACAAACAATGGCACCCTTTTTCTCAGTCTTACACTGAAGTGACTATCCTAATCCTTACAACAGTGATCATTAACATGGAGATTCTACTAATTCCATACAGATTTCTTTTGCCATCATTTATTTTAAGGTCAGAGTCAATGAACATGCTTTTAAAAACTCCTCAAAAATGATAAGCTATAAATTTATATCTAATTTTTTTTAGATTTTTAGAAAAAAAAAAACATTCTCAAAGAAATTATAAAAATATCAGTGAAAGTTGTTCTAGGTGCCTCTTCCTCAGCTAGAACCCTTGACTAGAAATTTCACCTCTCCCCTAGTCTAGACTTCATTCCTGAAAACAGTCTTTGCACAGGAAGTTCTTCCCAAATAAATGGTTTTTTTTTCCCCACTTTTTTTCACAATGCCATTTCTATAACCTCCTAAGTAAAGATCAACTGCTACAGAGCAATGTGATCTGCTCAATGATGACTTTCTCAGTCTTTAGACTACTCGGATGACCTACTATCTGGGTCAATTTGCAGACATGCTTCTGTCCTCTGTTAACTTTAAACAACGCTGAGCAAGTCTTCAGTCTTTAATTTTTTCATCTAGTAACTAATCCAAAGAAATGTGTAAGATGTCTAATTATGACTGTGGACTTGCCAATTTTTCCTTTTAATCAATCAAAATTTGCCAGCACACACACAATTCATGATTATCTTATGTTCTTTGTGAACTGTTCTTAACTTCTGCAGTGACCCTCTATTCCTATTAGTGCTGAATTTGCCTTCAATTCCCTTTTTTTTTCCTGATACCATCACAGCATACTCTGTCATCATGTAGGAAGGACTTGGTTGGTATATATCCTCTCATATCTTTATTCTGAACCTTTCTGAATTACTTTGAGTTATAGTCTCTTCTAAGCAGCATACAGGTGAATTAAAAAAAGAAATCCAGATTGGTAGCCTTTCCTGTAACAACCATGTTTAATCATTTATGTTTGTCAGGAGCCATTTCTACCTTCTCATTCTGCATTTTCTACTCAGCATCCTCATTCTATCCTTTTCTCCTGTTGGTACCCTTCCTTCCTCTCAGAAAACAAGATACTCCATTTCCATCGTGTTTCTGTCTTGCTTTAGGCTTTATCTGTACAGCAGGAGGACTTATCTGACAATGTGATACTCAAGCACACCAACAGCACAGCTCAGTGCCAGCAAGCATCATTCTTTCCAGGTTTTTAGAATGAAGTGAGCAGAGACACAGTTCAGTCCATGCAGCAGCAGGCACAGTCTACAGACGATGTCTGCAGTCAATGCTTTCCATCAGAGCAGTAGAGTCCTTTTCTTTTAAAACACAGCAGCAGCGCCACAAGATACATTGAGAATTTTCTTTTGTTGGCTTTCACATGAGATGTGTAAGATAGTTTGTTTACACAGAAACAATTTTTCTTTTAAATACAATCTTGAGATTTATTGCTCAGCTTTCCCACTTTCATTGGCATTCACCCTCTTACATGGAGTTTTACTGCAGGGAATTTTTCAAATGTCCAGTTTAGGACTTGAACTTTCTGTCTTAATCTTTAAGCAATTCAAATGTGCGCCAAAAGAGTACTATGTAAATCATGCAATAACACACTGGAATACTGTAGAATGTCTATCCAACACACTGGAAAACTGTAGAGTATCCATCAAATGCCCACATAAAATCTATGGACATAAAAACAGATAATTACACTGGCATGAAGATTTATTTACTACAAAGTCAGAGCACAAAAAAGCACTATGACGTTTCCTACTAGGTACAATGAATACTGTATGCTTGTTTTAAGCTTTGTCCTCTTCTCTCTCACCAACAATCTCACACATGCAAGGCAAGCATTCTATTAAAAGCTACACTGTCAATACCTCTTACTTGTTCTTTACTAAGTTGCCCAAGCTACCCTCGAACTTGTGACCCTCTTGTCCAACCTCCAGAGTAGCTGGCATTACAGATGTATACCACTAATTATCTTTTTCCTTTTATTTTTCTTCTTTTTCTCATTTTCGTTAAGACTACTACTTTTTTTCTGTCTTTTTTTTCTTTTTTTCTAAAGAAAGCTTAACTTTCAGTTCCTAACATGGCCCAAGCTTATTTCTCATACTTTTTAGGTTAACACAAATCAGATCACTGTGGTAAGTTCATATTTCACTACATGTGTGACTGATTTCATTTCCTGGCACTGATATGAATTTTGGAAGGAAAAAAAAAAAAAACTCGACCTAAATTCAATTTAAAACCAAAGTTTCAGGCCTATCTAAAATGTGGGGTACTTTACATGATTTTATTCTTAACCACACAATGATTCAGAAAAAGGGGAATTTCTGCCTAAAAAATTAGTGAATTCCCTCCTGTCACAAAAAATGCACTTGACCTATTTAGATGGTTTATTTTCTTTGCCAGGGTTTTGCCAAACCCACTAACTATAAAAGTAAATAAATAAATTTTATTCTTGGTTTTTCCTATTATCATAATGTAACTATATATACACATATAAACACATATATACACATAGATCTATAAATGACTGAACACATTACTTTGAGTTAAATGCTTCAGTTAACAGTCACTACTTGTTTTTTCTTAGTGACTCTGACCACCACTGCTGGAGAGAGAAATGGCTGACAATTTTACCACGCCACTGGCAGCTCTTCAGGGAAACTACTGCGATCTCTATGCACACCACAGCACAGCCAGGATATTAATGCCTTTGCATTACAGCCTTGTCTTCATCATTGGGCTAGTGGGAAACCTGCTGGCCTTGGTTGTCATTATTCAAAACAGAAAAAAAATCAACTCGACCACCCTCTATTCAATGAATTTGGTGATTTCTGACATTCTGTTTACCACAGCTTTACCCACGAGGATAGCCTACTATGCGCTGGGCTTTGACTGGAGGATAGGTGATGCTCTATGCAGGATAACTGCTCTTGTATTCTACATCAACACGTATGCAGGTGTGAACTTCATGACGTGCTTGAGCATTGACCGCTTCTTTGCTGTGGTGCACCCTCTACGTTACAACAAGATTAAAAGAATCGAATATGCAAAGTGCGTGTGCATTTTTGTCTGGATTCTAGTATTTGCTCAGACACTCCCACTACTCATCAACCCTATGTCGAAGCAGGAGGCCGAAAGGACTACCTGTATGGAATACCCAAACTTTGAAGAAACAGCCTCTCTCCCCTGGATTCTGCTCGGTGCATGTTTGATAGGATTTGTGCTTCCCCTCATCATCATCCTCATCTGCTATTCTCAAATCTGCTGCAAACTCTTCAAAACCGCCAAGAAAAACCCACTGACTGAGAAATCGGGGGTGAACAAAAAAGCTCTCAACACAATCATCTTCATCATTGTTGTGTTTGTTCTCTGTTTCACACCTTATCACACTGCAATTATTCAACACATGATTAAGAAGCTCTGTTTTCCTGGTGTTCTAGAATGTGACCAAAGACATTTGTTCCAGATTTCTCTGCACTTTACAGTATGTCTGATGAACTTCAACTGTTGTATGGACCCATTTATATATTTCTTTGCATGTAAAGGGTACAAGAGAAAAGTCATGAAGATACTGAAACGTCAAGTCAGTGTATCGATTTCCAGTGCAGTAAGGTCAGCCCCTGAAGAAAATTCAAGAGAAATGACCGAGTCACAGATGATGATACACTCTAAGGTCTCAAATGGAAGTAAAAAGGACAACATCTTGGACTTCACAGCAAAGCAAGTTGTGTGATGGACTCCAAAGGACTTCTCTTCCAAAGGAAAATGATGGCTTATCTCCCAATTAGTATTCCTTTTAATTCTCCTCACTGGGCACTATTTCCCACTGCCAACTAATGGAGATACACATCAGCTCAAGAGAACAACATAAAACAAGTTCTACTTTGTAAATGAAATATTATGTATAAATGGGAGTAATCTTAACAAGTCTCAATGTAAAAAGAAATGTTTTATGTTCTTAAGAACTCAATCATTACTATTTCCTGCCAATAATTTGGCAAAAGGAAAAAGACTGATTCCACTGTATACTGTCAGTGTAAAAATGTTAATATTGTAATATGGTTTTGATAACATATTTCTTAAATCCATGTTTTCCATTTTAGATTTTTTTTCCTTAGTAATATTTTCTGTTGTTTTGTTTTGTGATACAACTGTTTAAAGAACACTTTTTTGGGAATAAAGAGCAGGAATATAACAAAAGTACTAATATATCTCTCAATGCTTACTTTAACTAACAGTAGAAATTCGAAGTATAATTAGCAACGGGTTGATGTGAAAAGCAATGCTATAAATGCTGATGGTGACAGAGTCAATGAAAGCATCAAGTTTTTCCCCTCATAGCGAGCATAGTAGTTTTGGACCACTGCTCAGAAATGTAAGGATATTTAATAGAGATACCCAATGAAAGAAATGTCTACTTGCTAAATTCTTCTTGGAAAATAAAAAAAAATCATTCATATATGCTTGCGTTTCCTTGGGTCTTCAGGGGCTCATTTCTTTTTCATTCCCTGGTTGATAGTATCTGGCATGTACATCTCTGGGTTATGAGAAGTGGAGGCCGTGAGGGTTATGGCTGTAATTGCAACTTGCCTAAACAATCAGGAAGTAAAATGCAAATTTATAAATTAAGAGTTTTCAGGATTTTTTTTTTTTCCATTTAAGGCAGGGTTCACTACATAGACCTGGCTGGCCTGCACTCTCTATGTAAAGAGGCTGGCCTCAAACTGGTGAATGGCCCTTCTTTCCTCTTGCCTCTCTAGCACTAGGATTACAGGCGGGCTCCATCATGCCTGGCTAGGATTCTTTATAACATTATACACCTGTTCAAATGAATACCTTAATATGAACATCATGATCTTTCTAAGTGCAGTCAATCTGTCTGTCTGCTCAAATTTGTTTTGCCCCAGCCCTGAAATTTCCCCAGCACAATATCTCAAGTAGTAATGATACCAATTTAGATAATATAAAATAAGGAAATAAAATATGATATCACTGAGTTATAATTTCAATTTTTATTGAGTTATATGCCCTGGATTTTTTTTCAATTAACCCATTTTTATTTTCTTTTTTAAAAAGAGTTTCACTATGTAGCCCAGGATAGCCTGGAATTTGATATGTATCCCAGGCAGATCTTAAACTAAAGATCTTCCTGTGGTGCACACTTCTAACACTTGGGAGGCTGAGGCAGGAGAATTGCTGATAGTTCAAGGCTAGCCTGTACTACATAGTAAGTATCAGCTAGGGCTACCTGGTTCAAAAGGCCCTGCTTCAAAAAGAAACAAACAAAAAAACTCCTTATGTTAGCTTCCTGAGTGCTAGAATACAGATGGGTGCCACCGATGCCTAGCTTGGGAAATTAATCTTTATGACCACTACAGTAACTTTACTGAGCACAGTTAAGATCCACATTGTGTTAAGTTCACAAAGCCACCTGGCCTTAAAGCCAGTGACAAAACATGGGCTGGTCTGATAGAGAGAAGTGGGACTAGGCATGTGGATTAGGCACAGGGAAGTCTGGATCTTGCTCCTTTCCTTTACCCTATCTATGAACTTTCCCAAGAGAAATATAAGAGAGTAAAACAATGAATTTTGTTCAGGATGGTACTTAGTGATCTGAGTCTCTAAAAAGAAACCATCAGTAAAAGAAAATCAGAAACAAAGTTTCCTCACTTCCAGAGCCCTCTTTTATTATTATTATTATTATTATTATTATTATTATTATTATTATTATTATTTTTGGTCTTTTTGAGACCAGGGTCTCCCTGTAGCCCCAGCTGGCCTTGAACTCACAGAGATCTACCTGCCTCTGCCTCCCAAGTGCTGGGATTAAAGGCGTGCGCCACCATGCCAGGCTCAGAGCCCCCTTTTAAGGCAAGCTAGTTCTCATTCTATGGCTACAGTGGAACATAGAGCATCACACATATGAGACAATACACTGCCTCACATGATGACAGGGTGCTAATCAGGTCAATTCTGTGATCATTCGAACCAGAAATGTGTGCAGTGACAGCTTACAAAGGAGTAACATATTCTTAGGTCTGTTAAGCTCTACCTTCTCTCTCCATCTTACCACCAACTATATCTTATCAGTAGCATACTGACAAAAAGGCAAACTATAAACTTTTCTTCAATATTAAACCTTTTAAAATCTATAGTCCAGTCAAGTTAGTTATTAGCTCCTTGTCCAAAGGCCTTCACTGCTTATTTAAGGCAATTGTGCACAATGAACTTGGATAATATCTTCTTGTTTTTACAATCAGCTTTACTTTTATTTCCAGCATATTCCTTTACCAGTAAGCGATCTTGGAGCACAGGGGCATTACTGGATAGTTTTTGTATTCTATGACAGAACAAAAAAAGTGAGCTTCTATAATACTGTCTGAAAATCCCAATTGTCTACATATTTTCTACAAGAATCAGATGGCATGCTAGGAAGTTAGACAGTAACAGGGAGCTAAAAGAACTTATCTAGGAAAGCAAGTAGATATTCAGCAAACCTTACTTCTCTTTCATAATCTCATTTTCAGTTCTAAAATGATCATTGGTTAATTAAAAAATTCTCAAAGCTATTCAGTTAAATGCACTGACTATTCAGTGACAGCTGTAGTTTGAAGAGCTCAAAATTTACAAAATAAGTCCATTTTATTTACATGTTCTTCTTTTCCATAATTCTGTGAGCAGGATGAGAAGACTGTTCACACTAAGTGCAGAAAAGGGAGCTGGTCAATCAGCTGCAGCATCCAGAGGGTAGCCCCAACTCCGTGGCTTACCCATGAAGGGATCACATGGACATAAAAAAAGGCATGAAAGAGGGGCTGGAGAGATGGCTCAGCAATTAAGAGCACTGGCTGTTGTTGCAGAGGACCCAGGTTCAATTCCTAGCACCCACATGGTGGCTAACAACCATCTGTAACTCCAGATCCAGATGCCCTCTTCTGACTTTTGCAGGTAATGCACAACGTGGGTACACTTACCTACATACAAGCAGTACACTCATACCCATAAAATAAAATAATAATAAATAAAATGTATTTCTTAAAAAAGACATGATGCCATGCTATGCCAGCTTTGAGAGGACAAATCACTCAGCACCAAGAAGGTTACAAAGTCAATGGACCACAGGCTTCATGAGAAGTAGGGATTTGTTTGTATGTACACTGAACCTGGCACAGTGCTGGCCCACAGAAAGGTTGCAAATATCCACTTAATTGAACAGCACATATTCTGCACTATTACTGATACTGTAAACCCCTACTCAGCTAGTTAAATTAATTTTTCAATGAAAAGAAAATACTACAAATGATGGATGATATATGAATATGTGTCCTAAAGAAGACTTTGCAATTTAAGCTAGATATAAGAAAAATGTAGCTCATTAACAAATCAATGACAAACTAGCATGATCTGCTTGGAAACAATTTAGTATTTCAAGAGGCATGGGCAGTGGTTCTCAACAGCCAGTAAAGGCAGCTTGTGATTTTAAAAAAGGGAAATGTCAATCTTAAATTAGCCCTTAAAACGGTCTATTTTGGTAACTTCTCAGCCTCCTGTAATTTGTTATTCTCTGCAAAGCTAAAAACATTTGTTCATTAACTATTCAGGTGAACAACAAGAAATGAGAAGCATACAGATCAGACGCAAGGAAGGACAAGAGGGCTCAGTCCTTTGAACCTAGGATTACTGAGTATTCACTAGAGGGCTGCCAATTAAAGTTGTACAGCACACTTAGAAATGACTGATGGGTTAAAGAAAGCCCCACATTCCCATTCATTTAAAACTTAAACGAGCTATGAATGAGCATTATTCATCATTTACTATGGCCACTTCCCAAGCACATAATTACTAGGCAATTGCTCTGCTAAGAGCCCCACTATGCTGATGAGGAAGCCAGACACCAAGGCCATGTGGAAGATAAGCCAGGATTTAAACTCAACCTGTCTCTACTGCCGCCTGACTTGAACAATCCCATGCCACTGCCTACTAGACATGCTTACCCAGAGCTGTTCCAGCTCCTTCTCTCACTTGGGCTTCTGGCCTCCATTTCCTGTGGCTTTCTGTGTTTAGGACCTTCCTCTATCACCATACCATTTCCTGGAATGGCCCCCTAGTTTCTCTGCAAACCCCACCTTTGGGCTCTCCATCACACATACCTGAATGCTCTCCTCTATCATGAGAGTTAAGTGGTGAAGAAATCCCTGTTGGAGTTTCCTTCTCTTGGGCTTCTCTGCTCATTTTTTCATTACCCCATATCACCAGCCAAGCCCAGAAGCTGGCTATCACACATCTAAATTATGGCCAACTCTTCCCTTTGGGCACCTCAACTAGAGTTAGAAAATGTTTTTTTTTTTTTTGGGGGGGGGTTGTTTTGTTTTAGGATGCTGTCCAGAAAGCCAGCAGACTACACTATTAATCTAACCTGTTAACTAACAGCTAACAGAGCATACTATTCTAAGCGCTCTGCTCCTTCAAGCTTCACACTAGTTCTGTGAGGCTTTTTGGGGTGCTGGCAATGAAAACCAAGGCTTCAAGCATGCTGTTTAAGTGTGCTATTACTGAGGTAAACCCTCAGTCCTGAGACTCAACTTAACACTCCTGTGTTCCATATTACAAAACTGTAACCTGCTCAAGGGAAAGGGAATGGCTTGCTGAAAGTCGCAGTCAGCAGGGGGCCCAAGCTCTGATCTCTAGCTGTCTGCCTCTGGGTCCACACTCTCAATCACTACATTTTCCCTCTTAAACAAGTAGAATTATATGTCCCTTAGAGAGCCTTTAAAAAGATACTGGGCTGGAGAGATGGCTCAGCGGTTAAGAGCACTGACTGCTCTTGCAGAAGACTCAGGTTCGATTCCCAGCACCCACATGGCAGCTACGAACTGTCCTTAACTCCAGTTCCAGGGGAATCCAAAGCCCCCTTCTGATCTCTGCAGCATTGCAAGACATGGGTGCACTCACATACATGCAGGCAATATACTCATACACATAAAATAAAAATTTAAAAAAAAAAAAGACACTGCTCACCTATTAGTCTTGAGTACCTTTGAGGTACTGGGGAGGGGGGTTGCACATAACTACTGCTGGCCAATGGGTGGGGGGACAGTGACATAGGTCATTCCCAGGCTTAAACATGAGAGAGGAGTGAGGGATGCTCTTCCAATTCTTCTTTCTTGTCACAGAGAAGGCGCCCCCGAATGAGTAAGCACAAAACTCCCACTCTACACCACATCTACCTGTGTCAGACAAAAGCATGTCTAAGAAACACATCATGTGTATTAAGCCCTGGGATTCCAGGAGTATTTGTAGATGCAACATAAGCTTGTCTGTTCTGATTAATACAGTGTTTAACCTACTTGGACTGAAAAAAGGGGGGGGGGTATAAGGAAAGAAAACTGTAGTCTCTATCCAATTCTGGTTCCCAAACATGCT